ATTCAGAATCATTTTTTGGTGATGGAACAGTTTCAACTTCTGACAGTTCTCTTGGAAATTCTGATATTGGGTGGATATGTACTTCAGATGTGTTTCTGTCTGTTCTGTACTTGTTCTAAAGGTTTTACTAGGTCACTTTTCTTAGCTGGTTCAACAAGGTTTGATGGAAGCACTTCCCCAGTTACTGCATCAGCATTCTGTGTTGTAACATCAACCTTCAGAAGGTCACTTGGGAATTCAACTGATATTGCACTGACATGCTCCTTAGATATAATTTGTTTCTGTTCTAGTGGTGGTTTTACAGATTTCATAAGTTCACCCTCCTTTGTGAGTTCAAGTATATCATGAGTTCCTGCATCAGGTTGTTGTGGTGTATCAAGTTCACTTCCATAGTCTACTGATATTTGGTGCATCTGTTCTTCAGATGCTAAATCTTTCTGTTGTGTTCCTTCAATTATAGTCTCCACTTGGTCACTCTCCAAAGATGGTTCAAGAACTGTTGATGGAATGACTTCTTGAATCACAGTGTCTGTTGTCAATGGTATAACAGTATCAACCACAGCAGGTTCCATTTGGCACTTTACTGGTATTGCCTGCACATGCTCTTCAGAAGTAATTACTTTCTGTTCCTGTTCTTGTGTGCCAGATTCTATTGAGTTCCTCTCCTTTGAGGGTTCTCGTACTTTAAAAGTTTCTGAATCATTTTTCTGTGGTGTAACTGTACCAACATCGGATACTTTTCTTGTTAATTCTGATATTGAGTGGATATACACCTCAGATGCCGAGTCTTCTAGTTTCATCTGTTTCATAGGTTCCACTAGGTCACTCTTTATTGATGGTTCTGGAAGTATTCCATGAGTTGCATTTGTTTTCCGTAGTGTAACATTATCAAATTCTCTTTGGGATTCTACTGATATTGGGTGGATACGCACTTCAGATGTTATATGTGTCTGTTCAGGTACTTGTACTCTGGCTTTCACTAGGCCAGTATTCCTAGCTGGTTCAACATGTTTTGATGGGATAACGTTTTGTGTTGCTGCACCCATTTTCAGTGGTGTAACAGTATCAACCTTCAGAGATCCAATTTGGTGTATGTGCTCTTCAGATGCTAAGTTCTTACTTTCTGATTCTGCGTCAGTATTCTGTGGGGTAGCAGGATCAACTGTCGCGAGTTTGATTGGATACTTTACAGACATGAGCTGTGTATGCTCTTCTGATGATATTACTTTTCGTTCTAGCTGTAGTGAAACAGACTCGCTCTCCTCAATTTGTTTCAGTACATGATAAGTTTCTGAAGCTGTTTTCTGTGGCTTATCAACTTTTGGAAGTTCAAGTGGGTATTCTACTAATATTGGGTGGATGTGCATTTCAGATGTTATGTCTTTCTGTTTATGTACTTTGTCACTAGGTTCACTCACAAGCTCACTCTCTTTAACTTGTTCTATAAGTGTTGATTCAATTACTTCATGAGTCGTTGCATTAATAAACTGTGAATTACCATTGTCAACCTTCAGAACATCACTCGATATTGGGTGGATAGACACTTCAGATGTTATTTCA